CCAGCTGGCATTGCCTGGAAACATCTGCTCTGGGAAGGCCCCTCCAACGGACATGACATCCTCTCATCCATCTCTGCTGGGGAAACTGAGGCCCAGAGAGGGCAATGACTTGCTCAGGGTCACACAGTGAGTTTGTGACATCTGGTCTACGGTCCCCAGAATGTAGGCTCAGCAGCTGGCATAGTTGGGGGCAGATCATAGGTCCTGTGGCTCCTGTTTCACCCCAGGTTCTAGATATGGGAGCGTCAGGGGGGTTCTCAGTATCAGGGGTTGGTGGTGGAGGTCCCAGGACCGCCTCCCATCTTTCCTGGGCCGGCACCAAGGTGAATCAGGACTGCCCACTAGGGGGCGCTGAGAGCCCGCAGTCTGGGAAGTTCGGAGGCTGCTTGGAGCCAATCTCCTGCCTCCTCAGGAGGCAGGTCAGCTTCATGACAAACTGACCCCCAGCAGCACCATCCTGGCATTGGGGCTCCATTGCAGTGGGCACCTCGAGGCCTCTTTCCCTTGGGGGCCCAGACCTGTTCCCGCTGGAAGGTTAAGAGCACAGAGCACACCAGGATGTCAGTCAGGACTCGCTGATGGCTTATCTTGTCTTGTCCAAGCCCCTGATTTTACAGACAGGGGAACCAAGGCCCAGGGAGGGGACATAACTTGTCCCAAGCTTACTGGTGACTTCATAGCAATGACAGGCTTTCTGGTTCTTACTCCCAAGCCCATGGGTACTCTGCTTTTGGCCCCTGGGGCCATCAGGCCTCCTTCTGCTCCAGCTTCTGACAGGGGAGCCTGGGCCTGAGTCCTAGGCCCGCCTGCTTCTGGCTCAGTGAGTGTGGACAAGACCCTGAGCCTCAGTTACTAAACATGGAGGAGGACTGACTGTGCCTGCCTCTCATGGCTTCTGTGGGGGTTGCGAGGGCTGGTATATGTGGGGGTGGAAAGTGCTCAGTGAGGCCTGGATTTCTTCTCAGTGGGTTAGAATCCTAGAGGGAAGATGGCAGTTAACGTCCCACCTCCACACCTTTGCTGTGCTGCCTCAGACTTTGGGGCCTACTCCCATTGAAGAAGGAAGGAAGAGCTGTCACTGAGGAGTAGAGAGGTGAGGGAGCAGGCCATCTGCGGAGACTTGAGTTCTGGAAGACAAGGTGCAGAGAGACTGGGCGAGCCAAGGCCTGGAGGCAGCAAAGTGCTGGGTGTGGGATGGAAGCCAGCCCGGTGTGACCAGTCAATTATGCTTAAAGGGGTATGGCCAGAGCCTGAAGGTCAGGCACACAGACCAAGGCTTTGCTCTGAGGGCAGCCAAGGTCTAGGGAGGAGTCTTCAGCAAGGCTGGCTGTGGAGGGTGACCAGGTGGGAGGAGCAGGCTGCTTTTTAGAGCCCCTCTACTCTTGGCCTTCTCTCACCTGGCAACTCCAATCTCTGATATCTGCCTAGGCCTGGCCTTATGGAAGTCCTTTTCCCTCCCTGTGCCTCAGTTTCTCCTCTGGTCTCATTGGGGGCTGGAGGCAGACGCCCCACCCCACCCCCACCCTCACCAACACACACACACACACACACACACACACACACACACACACACACACACACACACACACACAGTGTAGGAGCCAGGGACCAAAGTGAGGGGCCACTGTTCTCCTGAAAGCACCTTGTCAGTCTCCACACTGGTTGGTCTCCTGTCCAAGAGAAGGTGAAGGAGGACCCTGGAGGGAGACGTGCAGGGACATGGGCTCTGGGTGAGGTCCAGTTTCCGCCTGGGCTCTGTGTCCCTGAGCAGTGCTGAGTAGCTCCCAATTGGGCCAGGCGCTGGGGTAGCTTGAAGGGGCCAGTGCCCCTGGCAGGCTGGCCCCACAGCATTGCCTGCCTTCTCAGGAACCTCTTGGCCCCACAGGCTGGATTTTGGGTTGTCTCTGCTCTACTGAACCAGCACAGAATGGCAGGTTTGGAAACTTGAGGGGTGGACCCTCGTGCCCAGCAACCCCGCTCCCCAGGTCCTGTAGGGCAGGGTCCTGCCCTCCTGCTCCCTGGGTATCCACATCCCAGTGGGGGAGGGCCCAGTCCAGCACTCACCCTGGGGCTATGATTGCTGCCCCATGCATTCTGGGACAGCAGGGCTGTGTCGTCTAGGCCCTGAGGACCAGCCTCAGCTTAACGCAAGGTCCTGGCTTCAGTTCCAACCTCACCGGTGGGGTGTGGGGCAGCAAGCAAGACTGTCCCTCTGTTCCCCCAGCCTGCCTCTGGCATATATCTGGTCTCTTCTCTGAGGCCCCCTGCTCAAAGAGGAGCAGAGACCAGGAGGTGGACCCAGACAGGCCAGGCCTGGAGACCGAGATGGGTGCACCTGTTTTCTGAGGCCCATTAGTCTTTGTGGGCCTCCCCCAGGAAGCCCTCTTGGACTCCTCCTCCTCAAGGATCTCCTGGGAACCGAGGGGACAGGGCTCTGCCCATCACATCCTAGGCAGGCGCCAGAGTCAATAACAATGCTGCTCCCTGGTGAGCATCGGCCACTTAGGATTTTATTAACAATAGCCATGTGCCCTGCACACAGCTCATCCACAGCCAGGACCTTCTCCCACCCTCATCCAGTCCCTGGTATGTGTGTATGTGGCGGGGAGGGGGGGTCTCCCCCTCCCCATCCACGGGCAGTGAGGCCACTCAGTGAGTGAGTGGCGGAGTCAGGGCTTCTCATGCTCTGGGTCCTGTGGTCACCTGGGGCCTCCCCTGAAGACTCCTTTCCCATCCCAGATTGACCTGTATGCAGGGGCTCTCTTTGTGCACATCTGTCTGGGCTGGAACTTCTACATCTCCACCATCCTCATGCTCGTCATCACAGCCCTGTACACCATCGCAGGTACAGTGCCTGGGCAGGGTTGGGTAGAGGTCCTAGGGAGAGGGGTTCTGACCACTGGGCTGGGTGTTGGTGCAGCTGGGTGGACATGTGCTGGAATCTGATAGGCTGGGGGTGTGAGCAGGAGGCAGAGGGCCACCTCCTCCCACAGCTGGGACGTTGCTGGTTTAATCAGATATTTGTAGTTTGGCTCTGCTGGTACAGCTGTTATCACCCCATAGCTCACCCTTCTGTGAAAGGGTAGGGACACAGATGTGAACAGCTGTCCCTCCCTGGAGCTCTGGTGTTGCTTTGCTGTTCCTCTTCCCTCAAGACCAGGGCTCCCTCCAGCTTCTTTATTTCCTCCCACAGGAGGCCTGGCCGCTGTGATCTACACAGACGCCTTGCAAACACTCATCATGGTCGTGGGGGCTGTCATCTTGACTGTCAAAGGTGAGGGCTGTGGTCCGCAGTGGGGCTGACCCCAGCAGCAAGCCCTTTGAGGTCTGGGTGCTGCCCTGTCAGGACCCTGGTGTCAGCAGTGGGAGAAGGGGGTGGGTTCATGAAGTCAAGCCACGAGGCCATCAGGCCCCTGCCGGCCTTCGCTGGGTGATGGGCACTGCCTGCTCCACTCCTGCCCACACTGCTCAGCTGTGTTTCTGTCACCAGCTCCTGGCCAGCTTGGGTCTGGTAGGGAGCTGACTCAGGACCACAGGGCTGGCCGCACCCACACTGGCTCAGGGCTTGAGGGTGAGGTGAGGCCCAAGGTGGATGTTCAGACACACAATTAGGAGACTACAAAACTGCCTGGGTATCTGCTCCAATTGTTTAGAATAATGTATAAGATCCCAAGAAGTGCTGCTATGGCCTGCTGCACAAAGCAGGGAAGGAGAGCAGGGGTTTAGACAGATCCGTGATACTGGTCTGGGGACAGGGAGGAGTCTCGGAGGCCTGTCCCAAGAGGTAGTGAACTCCCTGTCCCTGGAAGTAAGGAAGCAGAACCAGGAGGATCCACAGAGGGTGAATGGAGGGCTTTAAAGTTTCTTCCAGACTCAGACTCTAGGATCCTGTGGCCCAGCAATTTCTGACCCTTGTGTAGCCTTTGTACCTTTGCTCTGAGCACTCACCCCAGCCTGGCCTGAAATGATGCTGGGGTCCAGGGTCTGGGCAGCCAGCTTTCTGCTTGGGAACGGCAGGAGTGCAGGGCCTGGGCCGAGACTGGGGTTTTTCTGTGTCCAGGCTTCTGTGTATCTGCCTCCTCTCAGGTCAGGGGCCTGTGTCCCTGGAACCCACTGCAGGAGAGGGACTCAGGCAGCCAGGCCCACTCTGGATGGAGCAGGGTGAATGCAGACACAGCAAAAGCCACATGGGGCCACCCCAAAGCAGACAGGAATAGTGAAGGGGCGAACATGGTCCAGGCTCAAGAGGAGCAGCCCCTGGCTTGAGCGCCACTGGCTGGCTGGGTGGCCTCGGTCATGCCTCTGCCTCTCCTGGGACCTCTGTTTCCCTTCTCAGGGCTGCGTCATCCCCAGCCATTCTCAGCTCTGCCTAAATCATGTCCTTTAGAAACCCGCTGGGTCAGGACTTTAACACTTTAGACTCCTTGGAAGGTCCTCAAATGCCAAAACAATATACACTTTAGCTTCCTTAAAATTGACAGTTTGAAGCCTGGCAGAGAACTCCTTGCCTGAGGCCAACCAGCATCCAGAGGCCAATAGGATACTGGGCTGCCCACGTGCAAAACGCTCATTTAATAGTATTATTTTAAATACAAATAAAATAGTCATTTGAATTCACCTTTTTAAAATACCCTCTACCCTCCACACTTTTCCAGACACTGGAAAAGAAGTAGGAAACAGTCAAGTTTGATGCATCAGGAAGTTCCTTGTGAGATAAGGGCAGTGGGGACCACGAGTCAGGGCCACTAGCCACCAACCCGTCCTTGTCCTGCCCCAATCCTACCAGCTTTCGACCAGATCGGTGGGTATGAGCAGCTGGCGGCAGCCTACGCGAGGGCCGTCCCATCCAGGACTGTCCCCAACACAACCTGCCACCTGCCACGTGCAGATGCCATGCACATGTTCCGAGACCCCCACACAGGGGACCTCCCATGGACTGGAATGACCTTTGGTCTGACCATCATGGCCACCTGGTACTGGTGCACCGACCAGGTGAGTGTCCACATCATTGCCCATACCATCTGCCTTCCTTCCAGGGTGGGCTCTGGAGGGTCTCTGCGGCCCGTGTGCTCATCCCTGGTATGGCCACATGAACATTGACATGGTGAGGCTGAGCTAGGACAGAGGCCGCAGATGGCCTGGCTCCAGGCCCGGGGACAGGGTGCTAGGGATCTTTGCAGTTCCGGGGGGCCTGGACCCTCCGTTTAGAATCAGGTGAGGCCCACTGGCCACCGCCCGTCCTGGCCTTCAGGTGCTTTGACTGGGAGAGTTTGGAGAACGGTATTCCAAAAGGACTTGGGTGTGCCTCGGTGGACTTGCCATCGGTTAGGGGTCTGGCGTTTCGGGCCAGCTGTGGACTCACAGGATCTGGCAGCGTGTGGGGCACAAGGCCACCCTTGGCCTGCCAGTGATGGGGGCCTGCTTTCCTGGTAGAGCCCTGGGCGCCCTCAGCAATGGGGTGGTACTGCAAGGGTCTTAGGGTCTTCAACGGCCGTGGGAAGCCATCTGTATCCTTGGTCCCTGAGGCAGGGACTCCAGAATGGCAGAACTGCTGATCCTGGGGGAGAGAGAATAGACAGAGTGAGATCCCAAGGAGTATCTCCATCCCTTCCCACAGGATTCTCACCAGGGAGGTTGCACCCACCATACCTGGGTTTGCTTCCTGGCCCTGCCACTCACTAGCTGGTGGTCTTAGACAAGCTTGTTTGGCTACTTTGAGCCTCAGTTTCCTCTGTGTCATATGGAAATAACCCTGCCTTTTGTGGTGGCGATAAGGCAAGTTCCCATTGTTCCTCACTGCCCGTTTCAGGCCCTCCATCTGTAAACGGGGCTGGACTGGGTTGTCAGAGGCAGCGCCTCAATGTGCCCACAATCCTGGTAAGTGCAGGGGGCACATCTTCTTCTGGAGTCGGACTCTAGTCCTCTCTGAGTTGTGAATGTCCCAGGTCACCTCAGACAGCCACTTCCCTCTCTGGGCAGAAGCAGATGATGCCCCCTGTTCTGCTTGCCGAGGAAGGCTGTGGGCAGGTCCAGGTAGCACTCAGGTGGGGAAAGTTCTCATGAAGCAGCAGGGCCTTGGCAGGCACAGGCCTGACAACTGTCCTTGCCCCTGGACCTGTGCCCCTGATGGCCCCACCATGGGAGTGACGCAGCCAGGCCTTAGGGCCAGCCCAGACCAGCAAGTCCCTGTGGGGTGAATGGGGACAGCCTCCCCTGTGTGGGATAGGCTCAGCCAGCTCCATTCACACTGAGGCCCATGGGCAGGACTGGGAACTGCACCCAGTGACCTCTGCATGGGGCCACGGCTGCCTACCCAGCGAGGGGAGTACTCAGAGGGTGCTCCCTCTCCTGAGCAGATGATCAGTGTGCATTTGCCCAAAGACCCTCCCTGGGCTGTGACAGTGGGAAGTGATCAAAGTTGGGAGGCTTCAGAAACCCTAAGAGGTTGGGCCTCAGTTTCCCCATTTGTAACATGGTGCTCTGAGATTCCCACATCGACCACGCCTCACATGCGGGCCTCCAGAGAACATGTGATTTCATAGCAGGTGTCTGCCCAGCTCCTCTGGGAAGGCTGAGGGCAAGCCTGGGTAGGCAAGGGGCTGGTTGAAAGGCTGGCTGTGGAGGGTGTGCCGGGAGTACCTGAAGTGCGTTGCTGGGCCAGCCCGTGCCCCTTCACCCTGGGCACCGCTGTTTCCTCCCCACCCAGCACAGGCCTGGCGTGGCACTGGCATCTCTGGGCGGGATATCATTCAGGAGATTTTCCCATGAAGGCTAAGTGAGTCAGCACACTGGGTGTGGCCTCAGGTCAGGGCTGAATGGATAAGATGGCCAAACAGGGAGGCGGAGGCAGCACACTGTTGACCCCAAGGTGGTCAAAGTACCACTGGCATTGGTGGCCTGCAGCCTGGCCTCAGCCTTAGCTCCCCTTTCTCCTATTGCTTAGGCTGGGTCTAAGGGGGTAGTGGGGCCTTGATCCAGAGAACCGACAAGGCAGGGGCTGAGACACTGGTTCCTGCCTGCCTGGGCCTTCTGGTCCTGCTCAACTGTGACCCTCACTGGCAACTGGGGCCCTGGAGGAGATTCTATGCAGCCCCAGGCCAGGGTGTCCCTCCAAGATTCCCAGTCTGGTCGGCACCAGTGGCAGCTCTGTGTGCTGGGGCCACGGGTGCTTCTCATTCCCTTCTTTAGACTTCACTGTCTCCTAGCTTGTGCGTAGGAGGCACTCTTATAATCAGAAACAAATAAAACAGGAGGCCTGATGGGGCACGGAGCCTCAGCTTCTGCACCTCTAGAACAGGGCAGCAGCACTGGTCCTGCCTGCCTCCCAGGGCTGCCTGCCACCGAGAGCACAGAGTGAAACAATAACATACAATGTGCAGGGTTTTAGGGAAATGCTTCTCTTCCCTCACGAAGAGTGGCCCCGGATCTTGTAATCACAGGACATCAGAGAGGAAGGGTATAAAGAACCACGTCTAACCCCCTCATTATCCAGACAGGGAAACTGAAGCCCAAAGTGAGGTAAGGACGTGTCCCAAGTCATCAGAAGCTGGTGGAGAAGCAGGACTGAAACAAGCTTGTCCCACATAGCCAGCGCTTCCACCCCCAGCACCCTGTAATTCATGTGTCACCAAGAGCCATGCCTTAGAGGGAAATGCTGAGAGCTATCCATTAAATTAGCATGTTTGGAACATAGTTAAAATCACAGATGATTACTATTTCTGAATTGCTGGTAGTGATTTAAGCTGCAGAACAGCAAAGGGAAAACACTTATAGTTAAAATTTATAGATCGCACGTGGTGAATGTACTAAAAGCCACTGAGACATGTACTTTATGTGGCTGAACCACAGGTGGATTATATCTTGATAAAGCTGTTTTTCAAAAAAAGTTTGTTTTTTTGTTTTTAAAGTAGAATCATAATGTCAGAGTTGGGGGGATCCCAGACGCCATCAGTTCCCATTACCCCCCCCCCCCTTCCTACCATTCTGCAGACCTAGACACAGGCTCAGCGAGGATCTGCCCAATGGCCTGAGGAGCTGCCTCAGGCACTTCTAGCATTCTTCCACTACTAAACTGTAAGCTCCCCAAAACCCCAGGTCTGAAAGCTCCCGACTTCTGCCAGTCAAAACACAGGTGGTGCCAGGGTTGCCTCCTGGCACATGGATGAGCATGCCATCCACTCTTGAGAGGGTGCAGGAGATGGGGGGTCCCCCTGATACTGTCCCACCCAGGGACACCTTCTCTACTCAACAGATGGGGAGACTGAGTCCCCAGAATGAAAGTACCTTGGCCCCAGTTGCTTGGCCAATCAGGGTGAGCTCTGCTTCTGGGGGGAACCATTAAGTATCATGCTCAGGCTGTGGTTGTCTTGGGCGGGTCTGGCACTAGTGGGACAGCATCGTGTCTCACCCTAGGGCTGACCAGGGTGCTGTCAAACCATGTCACAGGTGCCTCTGAGGAGAGGTGGGACTGTCACTCTGTCACAGGTGCCCCTGAGGAGAGGTGAGACTATCACACGCTGTCACAGGTGCCCCTGAGGAGAGGTGGGACTCACTCCCTTCTCGTGCTCCCAGGTCATCGTACAGCGGTCGCTGTCTGCCAGGGACCTGAACCATGCCAAGGCAGGCTCCATCCTGGCCAGTTACCTCAAGATGTTGCCTATGGGCCTGATCATTATGCCAGGCATGATCAGCCGTGCACTGTTTCCAGGTAAGACAGGTGCCAGGGACTGGGCCGGGGCATTAGGAGAAGAGGCAAAGGGTGAATGTGAGCTATTTCCTGGCCTGTTGGACAGGGAAGGAGAATGGTGCCCAGGACCAAATCAAAGTGATTGACATGGAGGTGGCTTGGCATAAGGCCCAGACAAGGACCACTTACTGCTGTGTGGCCTTGGGGGTGTAAACGAACATCTCTGTGCCACTGCCATTTCCTCGTCTGAAAACTAGGCGTCAACTTCCTATAGCACCATGTGTCTGAAACCTCTCAGTGTATTAAGTGCATTTTCATTCAGCTCCCAGTAGCTGGCATAGGTTGCCTTTAGGGGACACTGGAGCCAAGGGTCTCTAGCACTGTAACCAATCACCTGCCACATGTGTGGGTGGCTCTGGGTGGTTCCCACCCCTCCCCACTACCCGGTCATCAGCTTCCCCATCTGTAACAGGAAAGGTCTGAGGGAGGAAGAAACCCAGCAGATGGCCGCGCTGGGCACTCAGGCCCGGGCAGAGGGGCTCCTGGACCCTGGTGCCCACGCACCCGACCCACCTGTGCCTCCTTGTCCGTGGAGTGCAAGGATTGCATCCTCCTCAGAGTGCCCGCCTTCTCTCTCTCCCGACCCTGAGCCCAGGGTGAGCCACAGAGGGGTCCACCAAAGGTCCCGCGGGTCGTGTGGGGGGCACTCAGCCTTCGGCGGGGGCGCTGAGTCTGCCCGTTGGCCACCTGCTCTGAGTGGCGCCTCCGGAGAGTGTCTGAGCGCTCCCTCACCTCAAAATACTCATCTGACACAGAAGAGGAGGCCACTGAGGGCTGCCGGGGGCCAGGACCAAGGCCAGAGCTGCCTGAGAGGCTGTCCTGGTCACTGAGGGTCACATAGTCATCGTCATCTTCCTCCTCGTCCCCATCTAGCCCATTGGGGATCACCAACCGCCTGCCATCGGGGTCATCCTGGGTCATAGACCTCTGTCGCTGGGGTGGGGCATGGCGTGCATCGGGGGTCCTGGGCACCTCATGGTCTGTCCCGTTCTGGGGCACCTCGTCATTTGGGCTTTCCAGAGCCCAGCCAACACCACTGCCATCCTGGGCAAGCACATCTGCCACGGGTACTGTCCGGGGCTTGGGCACAGGGGGCTGTGACTCAGGGTCCTCCTGGGGGAGGCCGTTCCTGGCTGGGGCTGGGTCCCCGTCCTGGGGGGCGCTGGGCTCTGGGGTGGGGATGCAGTCCTGGCTCTGCTTCCATAGCTGGGTGCCGACCTGAGATGTGTCTCGGATCTTGATACGGTTAATCTGGCTGGGCTGGGGGTTCCAGATATTGGGGTCAATGATGTTGATGTAGCCCAAGATGTCACTGCCCGGCTCCGGGTCTGGCTCCACCCACGTGGGCAGATATTCGAACATGTTGGCCCGCTCCAGGTTGAGCAGCCCTGGGTGAACCGGCAGGGTGGGCTCGGGGAGGTCTCCTGGCTGCTCGGCCAGAGCCGGACCCCGCAGCCCCGGGGGCCTCTTGACCTCCTGCTTCTCAGAGGAGACCTTAGCAATCTCTTCAGCACTCTTAGCCTTGACCAGCGCATACTTGGGGTTGACGAGCCTCTTGGCCACGGTGCCTGATGGCACCAACGGGACCACCGAGGGCAGCATGATGGGCTCTGGCTCAGGCTCCTTCTCCATGGAGATGCCCTTGAGGCTGACGCCATGGGACATGAGGTACAGCTCCTGGAACTGCCGGTCGAATGTCTCCACCACCTGGCCAGACAGCACTGAGATCACGTTCCGGTCTGTCCTTGCAGCTGACCACGTGAAGCTGCAACATAGGGGAAGGGGGCTGCCTGGTCAGGCATCTAGGGCCTGCCTTCTCCCTCAGGCCCAGGGTCCCCCAGCAGTGGGCATCTGAGCAAGCCACCGTATACCCCGCAGGCTGCTGTTCATCAGACTGGCTAAGGGGCCCTGCATGGGATGGAGAAGTGAGCGGGGATAGAGGGCAAGTCCTAACCTTCGGAGCCAGACCTGAGTCTGGGACATCAGGCAGGTCACTGACACCAAGCCCTCTCCCACCTGTGTAAAACAGCACAGTGCTGCATTCCTATGGGGGTTCCAGCACCCCGAGGGCACTCAGAATGCCCAGAGCAGCCCTTTGTCACCACCACCATCCCGAGTGGCCGTAGGCGGCACCCCCACTGCTGCCCCCTGCACAGCAGGGCTCACAGGGATGGGCCACAGTTGTCCCCATCCTGTCCCTACCTCTGAGGTTGACATTCAGAGTGACCACGTTGTGGGCCTGGGAAGACATGGCCTGGCTTGGTCCACGCCCTACCTCTAGGCTAGTGACACCTCTAGGCTGGAACAACAGTCTCACAGACAAAAGCCCTCCTCTGCCTACTTTTGGAGAAAGGTGGGTGGCGTGCGGGCGTGCCCCAGCCCCGCTCACACCTCAGCAGTTTTGGGACCAATGAACCGGAATAACCAGGGTGTCATAAGGCAGAATTAAGGGCACAAGCCAGCTGGGAACTGGAGCCGCCTCTTCCCCCTGCCCCCAGAAACCTGGGGAGTCACCTGTAGGAACCACAGATGGCCCGGTCTCCATCCACGAACATGAACTTCTGGGCCAGTGCGCCCTTGAACTTGGTGGCCGACCTCGTGAAGAACTCTGTTCCCCCACTGCTCCGCACCCTGAGATTCTGTGTTGGGGAACAGGAGATAGGATTACAGGACCATAGCACTGACCACATAGGGACGAGTGGGTCTGGGTTAGTGTTCCAGACGTAGGGACACAAAGGCCTGCTGACAAGAGAAGTAGTCTGCTTAAGACACGTGAGGACAGGGGAGGAAGGTGGGTGATGAAGCCTGCAGAGCGGGCCCGGCTGGATGCTGATGACAGAATCTGTATCTGCTTAAGAGTCTAACTTGGCCCTGGGGACAGCAAAAGCCACAGGAGGGTTCAGAGCAGAGAGTCATGGAGTTGAAGGTGAATCTCAAGAGGCTGGTATCCAGAGGGAGGACGCATGAAATGAATGAGGAGCTGGAGGCAGAGGACAGAGAGGAGGCTGCTGTGGGTGAGGGAGGTGGGCCTGAGCCAGGGCAGGGCAACAGGAGGAAGGGGATAGGTCTCCAAGAGCCAGAACCTGCCCTCTAAGCCTGCCCATGGCCCCCAGGGTGCTCCTGATGTCCGTCCCTTCTGTTATGGGTCCCAGGCCCATCTGCTCAGGATGGCCCAGGTCCCCATGGATGCCCACCGGCTGTGGGGTGAACAATTGTGTTGTTGGGCCTAGCCCAGAAGGCAGATAAGCCTCTGCTCCCAGGGCCAGCTCCCTCTGGCCCGCAGGCACCTGTCTGCACACAGCCAGCTCAGCAGGAAGCTGGCCACAGCCCAGGACAATTAGTGCTCGTGACTTTGTACCCAACACAAAGCACGCTTAGGGACCAGAAGTCAGAGCAAAGATCCTGGAGGCGGTACAAGGCCCTCCCTTGTCACCTGTGCCCAACCATAGCCCAGCTCTGCGGCTGATGTGGGCTCCTGGCCCAGTTCTCTGTGTGCTGAGGCCACAGGCCCGCTCCTCAGCCTGAAAGAATAGCCATCAGTCTCAATTCTCCTGCCACCAGTGTCTGCCCTCACCCATCCCAAATCTTGTCCTGATGAAGAGCTCCTACATCTCAGTGACTCAGCTCTGTGTGAGAGGCAGTCCTCGGCTGCACCAGATTCGCTTTGTGACTCTAAGCAAGTCTCTGGCCCTCTCTGGGACTTAGTTTCTCTGTCTGCATGCTGGGAGCTGCCTCGAATCTCCGGTCTATTAGCCCTAGGGCTCAACAGTAGGTGGGGCCTTGTGGCAGCTGCCACGCCCCCCACCCTCCCATCTCCCATCAGCTCTAGGCCTGTTTTCCTGAGTGGGCCCCACCCCAAGAGGACTGGCCCCGATGAGGTAATGTCTCAGGAGTTAGGGCTTGGGTGAGCAGTGGAGGCTTCCACAAAGGCACATTGTCTCTGAGCCCCACGACAACCCTGGCAGAGGACACAGCAAGCAGGGAAGGACACCTAGCCTGGCCCAAAAGGGGTGCCCTGAACAAATCCTTGGACCCTGTGGAATACCAGCTTCTTCGTACCTGAAAAGGGACTGTGATGAGTTCCCAAGAGTATGTCAGGGGAGGATATCAGTCACCTGCTCTGAAGCTAGCTTCTGCCCTAAGCATGTATGGGTCAGGGTGGGGTGGACTAAGTGCTGAGGCAAAGCTGTAGCACTCTGCCCTCCCCTCCCCGCCCCCCAGGCCTCCTGTGCTCATACAGAGACATGACTTGACCGTGTGCCGAGTCCACTGGCGCCCAGGTCTGGGCTGGTGGGAGGCAGTGGGGACAAGCCCAGGCTTCCCCGGAGCAGGGTGGGTCTGGGGCATTCTTGAGCTCCGGATAAACACGGCTCCAATCCTGGCACCAAATGACACTGACTTGGCCTCTCCACACCTCAGCTTTCTCATCTGTGCAATGAGCCTCCCTATGCTTAGGCTTCAGGGCTGCTGTGAGGACTGAAAGAAGCCACGATGCATACAGGTGGGGGCCTGGAAGGTGCCTGGCACTCAGAGGGTGTTCCATAAGTGCAAAGCGACGAGGTGGGCTGTGACTGCGCGTACTGGGGTGTGATCCCTTCCGCTGCGGGGGAGAGGGAGACACAGGTGAGGGACCAACACAGAGGACCAGAAAATATTTGGAATGGCATGGACTCAGGCCCAGGGAGGCCAGGAGTATTAGCGTACATGATGGTCAAGTGGGCTCAGAGAGGGGGCATGACTTGCTCCCAGTCTCCCAGTAGGTGAAGTCTAGCCCCCTGGGACTGAGGACAGCCTCCAGCTGTATTATGGAGGCTCTGCTGGCATCTCCTGGGCCCAAGGAGGCATGGGGAGGCCCAGAGATGCATCCTGACCAGGCCTAGCCGGTGACAGCAAGATCAAGGCACTTGTGCAGAGCACTTGGGACAAGGGGCCCATGTCCCCATGTGCTGGGTGCCTGGTCAGCTTCTGATCTCTTCTGAAGGTCCTGTTTCACTCTGTAATGGGTGAGGGGAGCCAACGCTCACCCTGGCCTCCACCAAGCTGTTGTGCAGCTTTGTGAACACACCTTTGTGAACCACTTTTGGGAACAAGGGACGGGGTAGAGCTGAGCCAACCCAGCTCCAAGACCTTGACGCAAGGATTCCCGGCTCTTCCCCTAGGCTGGGTTGCTCAGCCTTGGCAAGGCTGACATTCTGGGCAAGGTGATTCTCTGTTGTGGGGCCGTCCTGTGCAACATCCTTGGCCTCTAACCACCAGATGCCAGTAAATCCGTCCTAGTCGTGACCATTAAAAATGTCTCTGGACACTGCAGAATGTCCCAAGCCAGGCATACCTCCCTGGTTGAGAAGCACTGCTCCACACCCTGATCCATTACAGACTCAGGCCAGGAGCAGAGAAGCAAGGAGGGGAGGAGAGGAAGCCCTGGGCACAGAAGGGGGCTGCTGGAAACTGTGCCACAGGCCTAGTTCTCCCATCCCTGCCAAGCACCTTCCCATGGCTACCCTGGCTGGGATTTCTTTGTTCATCAGAAATGGGTCCGGCCTTTGCCCAAGTGGCTACTGGTTTTTCCAGTTTGGCTGCACAAAGCCGATTAACTTTTCAAATCAGCCAAGCATCCCACAGCTCCCATCCTGACCTAAGCTATGAGCCTCAAGGCCCAGCCTGGCTCCCAATGGCTCTGGGGCATCCCTTGGCACCCAGTCTTACCCCCAAATGGGGCCTGGTCACATGGCCTGGCCAGGCCCTGGTCGGGGGAAGAGTCTCTCGGGTGAGATGGCTCAGTCTTCTTCTCAAAGCCTATTCCCCATCTATAATATGAGGCCACCATTCCCATACTCTCTGCCTGATGGGCCGTCAGGAGCCAGCTGAGCCAGCAGGCCAGGGTGCTTAAGGACGGGTGGGAACCTCACACCTGGGGAGGTGCTGGTGCATGTCCTTCTATCTCAGCTGGAAACCAGGAGAGGGGTTGGCTCAAGCAATACAGCAGCTGCTTCCAGTGTGTTGGTGTGAGCGCAAAGCTCGGGAGGCTGGGGAGGTGCTGCCGGGAGCAGGGGGCATGCAGGTGGTTCCCAGCCAGACCTCAAAGGGAAAGGGGAGCCCCTTGGCACTCAGACCAGAGCTGGGGTTTCATAGGAGGAGTCATGCCTGTCCCCAGCCAAAGATAGGATGGGAAGGGAGTGTCCTACCCCCTACATGGCCTCCTTTACTCGGCACAGCAGCCCTGCCAAATGCATGATATTCCCATTTCTCAGACAAGAAGACTGAGGCCCAGAAAGATTCAGTGTCTCTGTCCAAAGTTACAGTGCAGGTGGCACAGCTGGGGATCAGGCCTGGTTCCTAGCACTGCTCCCAGACTGGCACCTGACATTGCCATGGTCACAAGTATAACCCTACCATGTACAACCTGCACCCTGGGCCCAGAGAATCTCAAAGCAGGTCGTAGCAGAGCTGGGCAAGGGTGGCGGGTGGCAGAGGGCAAGCCCAGGATTACTGGCAAAGGAAGTGCTTCTGAAGACAGGTTCGGGCCTAGCTGGCTCTCAGGCAGGGAGGTGGGCTGTGTGGGCAGGCCCTCGACAAGGTGACACTTGGCCAGGGCTGGGCCCACAGGAGCCTCTGGCCATCTGCCCAGGCTATAGAGGGGATGGGCTCAGAGGGGAGAACGAGGAGATCAGGATCACACATTCTTTCCCATGAAGGTGCTAGGCTCTTGGGCACATCACCCTGCAGACCCTGCTACCTTCCCCGTGCAGGGAGGTAGGCAGCAGAGCAGGCTGGGCCAGGGACCCCTAATGCAAGCTGCCTGTGCCCTCAGCTGTAGTTTAATTTTCAAGCTGAGGGCAGAGGGTGGGGGGAGGAGGCCTCACACCCACACCCTGGCCCTGGCCCAGGGCCTGGGGTTTATAATTTCTTGTTATTGCCAGCAGCTGTGTAACTCCCCTTAGCTCATAGAGCACTTTTACAACCATCGTCTCCTCTAATTTCATCCTCAAACAACTCTGTGAGGCATCATTATGGCCATGAGGCACTGGAGGCTAGAGAGGTAGGGCCACGTGCCCAAGTCCCTTGGCAGCCCCACGGCAGGTGCAGCCTCAGCCAGGGACACTGGGCACCAAGGGTCTGTGCCCTCCTTGTCCATGCTGATTTCTCGCTACTGGCATCAGGCATCCCTGACTTGGTGGAATGCCTCTGGGCAAGTCACAGACTCTCTTCGGCCTCAGTTTCTCCATCTGTCCTGTGGGAGCCTAGTCTAGATGGCCTCAAGGTCCCTTCTGGCTCCCACAGAGCTGTGAGACTGCAGCGGGTCCCAAGGCCCACAACTGCACTGGGGAGCAGAGGCGGGGGTGGGGGAGGCGCAGGGCCAACCTCACCAGGAGAGACCCATGCAGTCTCTGGGCCACGTTCCCAGCCCAGCTCCGCCTGCCTCTCACTTCTGGGAGTTCCAAACACTCCAAGGGGACTTGCGTTTGGGGTCTCCCTACTGAGAAGAGGCATGGGGCACTGGCCAGGGGCGAGGCATCTGGGGCAGCTAATTCCAGGTTCAGGTCCCCGCTCAGCACAGACAAGGGTCCTCCTGCCTGACCATCCACACACTGGGAATGCAACGGGGCTGAGTGAGGTGACACGTGTAAAGCCACCACTGGGCATGTGGCAGGGCCACATGGGAGTGGGCCCACAGGGTCTCTTCCCACGCACGGGGAAGAGGCTAGACAGAGATCCCTGAGCTTCTCTGATCTGCTGCCCACAGGGCCGAGGCCTCTGCAGCCACCTTTCAAAAGATGCCTTTTCTGCGCTCTAGACCTATCCAGTATGAGCTGTCTGCCCTGGGAGTTGACCCTCAGTGCTAATTACACGGCGGGCAGTGTGGCGGGTGAGCGTGGGGCTTGGGGGTCAAGCCACCAAGGAGGCCACATTAAAATGTCCCAACAACCAGAGACTCGCTGCCCAGAGAGCTCACACCCACTTGAAAGGGTTCAGTTGAGATGGGGGTGGGGGCACACTTGACAAATGCAGATAAATTACAGGTGAGGGAGCCCAGTCACTTGTTAACCAGCCTGGTGTCTCCCTTTCTCCTGGGATTGTGTTCAGATCACAGGCCTAAAGCGCAAGGAATTCTGACCTCTCAGAGGCTGTGCTCAGCCAGAGAGCTCTGGTGCTAGCCTCTACTCCCCTTCTCTTTAACTTTCTAGCCATGAGTGACACCTGGGCAAGTGCCTCCATTTCCTTATCTGTAAAACGGGAACAGCTGGGTTGTCACAAGGAGTAAATAAGTGACCCATGTAAAGCACCTAGCACAGGCCTGGCACATGTCCAATGTTGTAGAAGTATTAGCTGTCATTATGCACATTGATCTGTACTCTGGGGAACTGCTGCATTACCATAGGTGCCAAGCAGTGGCAGGGTAGAAGAAGGGCTCCCTCTACCCCCCAAGCAAGGGATGAAATGCCAGGGTGTCTGTGCAGAAGAGGCCAGCCACACTGGCCCTAATGCCCCTCTTTCAGACCAATGAGATCCTGGAGCCCAGAGAGGGGAGGTGATGTGCTCAAGGACACACAGCAAAGCAGTGCTGAGAACCCAGGCCCATCATGACCCCCTCACCTTTGCTCCATGGTATCCCCACTAGAAAGCCCTTTCTACTCTGCTCTTGAGAATTCCTTAAATCCATTTTAACTCTGTAGTTATCAATCAAGGAAGCCTTCCCTGACCTCAGCGCAAGGGAGCTTCCTCTGTCAGAGCCAGATACTAAAACCTGTGGGTGGATATTAAAGACAGATTTTGGCTTAAACCCAGGAAAGAACTTCCTAGGAGTTGGGCTCTCCAGATAAGATGTAAGCTGATGGAGTGGGGGTAGTGAGTATGCTTTCATTGGAGGTGTGCAAGCAAAGACAGGTAACCAGTGTGTCATGGGCTGCAGTGACAGAATATATTATATGATGTAGCACCTTGTGTGGGTTAACACCTGGCTGGCAGGCCCTTAATCAATGTTTATCTTATCTCTGACAGTTGGAGGTAGTTAATGTCCCGTCCCTCAGGTCATTTAAGCAGAGGCCAGGTGACCACCTGGCAGGAGTCACTGGGATTACTGAACTCTGTGTGCCCGGCACAGGGCTCCATTCCCTAAAAGGCAGGTGCTTGACGTGCTTGTTGATCGACTTAGTGATGAGTTGGTCATTCATGACCATCCAGCTCACCTTAAGATGTCCCAGATGCATGCGGGCCCGCTCACACATGTGCAGGAAGTACTTCACGTTGCTCTCGTCCACAATGATGTACACGGCCACCTTCCTCTTGAAGCCGGCATCTAGCAGGTCCTTGAAGATGTCTACATCAGTGAACATGTCCATGACCACGGCTATCACCTGGGAGCAGGAAGAGAGACTGGGGCTGTCAGGCAGCGCGGCAGTGGGGACAGGCACCTCGCAGGGCGTATAGCCCTCCCACACCCGCCATCCTCTCTGGGTGCCACTCCAGCCCTGCTCCCCGCAGCCTCAGGACTGGGACTGGGAAGTGACGGGCTGGCGGCCCTGAAGTTCTAGGTTCAGTATTCCACATTTAGGATATAAGATTCTCAGTCGGTGGCACAGACTGGACTCTGGCAGCAGGGAATGGAGGGGAAGCACATTCAACATGCCTGCTGTTTCCCTAACACAAGAAAACCAAGCCCAGTAACCTGGCAGGTGAGGCACGTAGAGGGAAGAGCGAGAAAGCTTCACGAGAAGTCTGGGAGGAGCTGGCTCTCAAAGGTTTGAGAGTCAGGAAGTGTCTGTGTCCTGAGAGTCTCCTTCCTTGCAGGTGTCAGGGTCAGCTCAAGGGTCCTGTTTTAGTCCATTCCTGGTTTGCATTCCTGAGCCAGGACAGGTCATGCTGCTGCCCTACGCCTGCTACCCCGGGATGCTGATATGAACCAGATGTGTCAACAGCCGGGGCAGGGCAGCAACTAGCGTGGTCACTTGATGAGGTCGTCTGTCCGTAAGTCCCTGGGCTGGTGTGGACTTCAGCAGGCTCCCTCAGTGACCAAACCAGCACATGTGCTCTTCCTGTCACCTGACACCCTCTGCCCACAACAGCTGACCTCCACCCTCCAGGACCTGGCTCAGGGCAGGGTCCCAGAGGCCAAGGTACACCTACCCCACTCCCAGCTCAGCCTTAGGCCAATGTGGGCAGTGACATGCCTAAGGCCTGAGGAGGAAAGAGGCACAGGGAAGGGACAGGGCAGTGTGGACAAGCCCACCGGCCTTGGGAGTGGTCAGCAGGCACCTGGGCCTTAGTGGGGCCCATCAGGCGCTGGCCCTCATCCCTGCCCACTAGGCAGCAAAGGAGAGCACATTAGACCAGGGCCCAATACTGCAGACTCAGATGTCCAGCCCCTGCTACCCTCAAGGGCCGGCAACACCGACCTATCCTGGGTCTGAGAACCTCCCGGAGGAGCCTTCTTCAGAGAGGCGGGCAACGTGCTCTGGGCCACACAGCTGGTGACACTCCGCCTAGAAGCTCCCCAGGCCCATCAGGGAGCTGAGCTCACCCCCACCCCCACATGAGGCTGGCCTGGTGGGCTCCTCTCCCTGGGATCCATAGACATAGGGAAACAGGGAGGCAGCCTGGTGCCTGCTGGCGATGAGTCTGCACATCCCAGTGAGCTCACCCTGCCGGCTTGAGCCATCTAAGCTCCTCCAGGGCTGCAACCCCCTGCCCTGCCACTGACATGATCTCTGAGTGACCCTGAGCAAGACACCTAGTTTCTCTCATCAATGTGAGAAAGGGCCCAGCTTTCTCACTGGTACAATGGGGCAGTAGACCTGTGGGACCCAGCCCAGGCTCCCTGACAGCTGAGGCCCAGGGTCCTCTCCATCTCTGGGAGACAACTGCTCTCTGTCTTTGAGTCTGCAGGCCTGTTCCAGGTGGGGCAGAAGAAACTGGTATCGTCCATGCAGGGGCTGGGACCAGCAGAGGGGAGCCAAGGGGAGGCAAATATCAGCATCAGATGAGGAAGTACTTTCTGACCCGAAGTTAGGCAGGGGTCTAGAGAGGGAGTGAACTCCCCATCCCAGGGGGTGTTTAAGGAAAGGCCAGAGATTACTTGCAAGGGGGTGGTGAGCAGACAGATGACACACAATGTCAGAGCTGAGTAGACTCATATGGCCTTTGGTGAAAACCAGTCGAGGATGATGAGACCCTAGGGTGGGTGGGGTGGCAGCAGGGACTTCCTCACCTGGGACCTCACATCCCCAAAGCCACTCCAGCCCTAGGATCCCCTTGGATAAGCCGCTCCTACAGGCTAACAGCTTCAGGTGCCACCCTGGGAAGGGTACAGGCTTCTCTCTGGAGGCAGCCACCACCCCTCATCCCTTTGCTCCACCGCTGGATTGGTCAGGCCTGGTTCCAGGCTCTGCCTGCTGTGGCAGATGGGGACTTGCCCTGTGCCTGGGGGATGTGTCCCAGCAAGACCCACTCCACATGCGTCCTTCCCCACGTCACCCTCGGGCAGGCAGAATGCCTGATTCAGGGACCATCTGCAGTCAGGCGGGATCTGTTGGGGCCTGCCCCCCATGGTGGGTCCTTCATAGGGTCCCGGCGTGAGCACTTGCTCTCTCCAGGCATTTAGCTCAGGGCCAGGGTTGGTAAAACGAGGCCTTGTAACAGGTACCAGCTAAGGCTAGGGGTGGGAAGGGGGTGCGTGGCACTCCAGGGAGGGCCTCCACAGCTTGTTCACAGAGCCCCAAGGCTTCCTGGCGGCCCTTGAGTCCTGCGAACCCTTCCCCATTTTATACATGGGAAAGTGGAGCCAGAGACTCAAAAGCCCAGGGTCCCACACCCCCACCCAGAGCACCTCCTGCCCAAGATAGTACAAGCCAGCTCTAGGCCTTGCACTGCATGAGGGTTTATAACAACCCCAACAACCTCTATCTGTTCAGTCTTCACCAACAGCCAAGAGACAGCAGTTATTCCCATTTTACAGATGAGGAAACTGAGGCACAGAGGGGTTCACTCCCTTGCCTAATTGTCTATTTGGATGGTCCAGCTCATCTGTGACACTGTGAGCTCATCAAGGGCAGAGCCCCTGCCTGGGCCCAGCATGAGGCTTGAACTAAGGAGGGCCTCAGGGAGCTGTTGTCAGCTGAAAATGCGACCAAATGGCTTGGACTGCAGGAAGGAAGGCAGCCCGGGACAAGCCACAGCCTGTCCTGAACCCTCGATTTGCCATCTGCCAGTAGGGGTGTCTGCCTGGCTCACTCCTATGGTCTATGCAACTCACACATCCATGACTTGAGCGCAAAGCTGCTGGCCCCACCTAGAGGAAAACACCAGCCACTTCCTGGGACCCCAGTGCACACGTACCCGACAGAGGTCTTAGGCAAGGCCAGACCCAAAGCCGTGGAAAGACCGAGGGGAGGCTGGAATCTGGAGACTGGCCTGCCCTGACGTGTGTTAGGAGACCACATGGGGCACGAGGCAGGTGGCCTGGGCCCCAGCTCTGAAGCCCTCTCCTTGTGACCACGGGAACTGGCTGTGTCCATCTGAACCTGGTTCACACAGGGTGGGGACGGCAGGCACGTGTCTGTCCCGTACGCTAGGCCTGGCATTGCTGGGGAGCTGATGAGATAGCACCAGCCCCACAGCCCAGAGCCTGCACAGATGACACAGGCCAGTTCCAAGGGAAGGAGGGAGCTCCGTGGTCCCCACATCTTACTGACAGGAAAGCCCCCTCTCAAAGATGCAGCCACAGGACTGGGAGGGGCCAAACACCATGATGACCATCCTGGTGGGTGTGGATGATGCCTGGGGGTGTGGCACCGGCAGGGACTGAAATCGGCGCTGGGCTTGAGTGCGCCTCGTCATACCCAAACGCCTCCTCACATCTCTCAGGTGTGCTATATGCGCAGGCTCCCAAAGCGTGTTTCTCCAGCAGCTCCCACACTTCCTTTCCCTTGCTGCACTCTTCCCCATCCAACAGATCCGCACCCTGCCTCCTACTGGGTCCCAACCCCCCGCCTCTCTCCATGAGGCTAGCACTGCTCTCAGGCCTCCCTTAATCTCCCCACGAATCTCCTGGTGGTTTTAGGATCCCTGACATATCCTTGAGATGGGTGAACATCTACCCCCTCATGAGAGATGCAGAAACTGTGGCCCAGAGAAGGGAGGGGACCGACCCCAGGTCCCACCTCAAGCCAGTAGGATGGTGGACACGGGTATCTGGCCCAGGCCCCTGATGCCCTCCACCAGCACCTCCGTCTCCCAGGTGGTTACTGGTGTGGGGGTGCTCAAACCAGGTGGCAGCATCTGAACCACAGTGGAGCAGCAACACCTTACCTGTGGCCACCACCTCCAACAGACATGGCCTGAGGCCTGTAAACCTGCTGCTTGTGCTGGTGCCATGGGCCCGAGGCACTGGAGCGAGTGTCCCCCCATCCCCATCCTCCCTAGGCCCCAGCAAGCAGCAGTCTGAGTCCCTGGGTAAGGACAGGGTGGGACCAGAGTTGGAGCTCTGGGTTCCAGCCACAGCCACAGAGGCTTCGGGTGAGCCACATCCCTTTCTGGGTCTCAGTTTCCCTCATCTGTAAAATGGGCAAAATGTTGATGTGACTCCCAAGGCTGTCCCTGCTGAAGGATCCCCAACACCCTGTGCCCTGCCGGGGTGTCAGTGTGGGTTCTAAACTGTCCTCTGGGAAGTTGTGTGACCTCAGGCAAGTGCCTTAGTTCCCTCATGGGGCAATAGCAGTGGCCTCCCTACAGGGCCGTTGGAGGGTAAAGGGAATTAATGCAGGTACAGAGCCAGCACAGGATCTGAGAGCCCATGCTCAGCAGACAGCAGCTGCCACCTCCTCATCATACCAACCTGAGAGCTGTTCTACCAGACCCACAGCACCCTCCAGGTAGACAGGCCAGGAATTACCACCTGCCTATTTCCCGCTTCCCTCTGTGCCAGCTAGAAGGTGGGGGGAAGGCAGGACCTCACGGGAATGACGCAGACTGTCCTAAGCGTTAGGACAATGGCCATCAAGACCTTGGATTCAACTTCTACTTCCTGCCATGCCAGAATAACAGAGCCTGCACTTACCCTCCTGCCTTAGCAATAAAAAACCAGGCAAAATCTATGAAATCATGGCCAACAGGCAGCACGGCAAGCACGTGATCCCTGAGAGAAAGGAAACAAGTAAGGCAACCTGTAGGGTTGTCCCAGCCCCCTTCAGGCCATGGCACAGGGAGCAGGCCCTGGTGGAGTCCAGCAGTCTCCCTGAGTTGAGGAGACAGGGTTTGCTCAGAATTTGCAGGGCTGCACATAGCGAACACCAGAGATCTGCAGAGGGCTCTCCCTTGAGCCTTCAGTAGGTGACGGAGCAGCACATGCATGGGAGGAAAC